ATAATATTAATATAGTATAGCAAAATACTGATAATGAAAACATTTAAGAGGTAGTTCATTTTGCTAAAGATTCTTTTTGCATTGATTATTTTTTTGTATATATTAGATCAATTTATTTCTTCTATCGAGAATCGATTTGAACAATTTTTAGAATATGAAAACATGTTTGGTTTTTTATTTGATTCAAATAAATTTTAAAGTTTAGGGGAAGATGAATTGAAAAAATATTGTATCAATCATGAAAAGATTTTGAGTTTTAAGGACCATTCTAGTATTGATGGTCTTGATTTGTTTCCAGAATTAAAGTTATTGAAAGAAATTCTAACAAATGAAATTAACACACCATTAAAAATATTGAACTATATAAAAAGATCATGTTCTTTTCCAAATACATACATTGCTTATAGAATATTATTAACATTACCTATAACTATTACGACTGCTGAAAGAAGTTTTTCAAAATTAAATTTGATTAAATCATATTTAAGATTAACTATGCTACAAGATAGATTGAATGAGTTAGCTATATTATCTATTGAGAGTGAAATGTTAGAATTACTTGATTATAAAACTTTAATAAATAAATTTGTAGCTCAAAAAGCCATAAAAATAACATAAAAATTATTAGGTTATATTAACCTAGGCCCCTATCTTAATTTTTTCCTAAGACCCTGAAATTCCTAGATACAACCCTAGACCTTATCTAACCATAATGTTTAACTTATCACAATCAGGTCAAGTATAAACAATGCTAGCCCTCATAAAATGCTAGGTATACAACTTAAATTTGGGTATGAACCTGCCACGACATTAGTTTGCAACACTAAGTCTCTTATAGGATTAGTTCACTAACCACCCTTCAAATATTATGTCCTTCTAGTATTGAGTTAGAGATTAAGTCTCTGACCTTGTACCTTACTTGATTAGTTACTTTATACATGTATGTCTTGACCTTGCACATATACGAATTCCACATAAAATCTAGATGAGACAACTTAAAACAACTACCCATCCAAAAGTCAACTTACTGAAAGATTCTCAACTTGGACTTTCGAAGTATCACGACTTATATCAACACAATGAGATATTTTAATATCTAACACAACTTTTATTCTCCTCCAATGTTTTTTTTATGTATCTCAATAAATATATTTATCTACACCACATGTATAACAATTTAACAATTTGATCAACTATAACACCATACAACTTTACAACTTAATCATCTACTAACTTACGACTGAGCAACATCAATACCATTATACATTATCTCAACTCAATGCATAATGAATCATCTACATATAACATTCATCATATATCCAAATCATCACCCCTCAAACATGTAACAAAACATCACATTAAAAATCATGCAACTCGTGCCCGACACCATCCCTTGGACGCCCAACGCCATTGAGGCAGGGGGCTTTTTGTTTCGCCCACAATCAAACATTGGGTCTCTACCTAACTCACACCCAACGTCACTAGTTTGGTGCCCAACATCAATTCAAACAAAGACAATTTTCTTTCCTCACGGTTGACGTCAAGAGACTAAGAACCCCTAACTTTAAGCCACACTTGACTTTAATTTTAAAAATTAAGTTTCTTATTATTTTATTTTAGCCAATCAGTAAAATATGTCAAATAGAAAGTATGTATCTGGATTTGAAAAGTTGAAAGAAAGAGAAGAATTGAAAAATTAATTCAATCTCAACAAGGTGTTTAAAAAAATTGTCTTGTAGATTGCGACGGTTATAAACCGTCGCAATGCTGAAAATTTTGCGACGGTTTATGACTAACTGTCGCAATGTTAAAAAAAATTGCGACGGTTTATGATTAATTGTCGCAATGTTAAACAAATTTTGCGACAATTTATGATAAATCGTCATAATGTTAATCAAATTTTGCCACGGTTTACGATAAACCGTCGCAATGTTAAACAAATTTTGCGACAATTTATGATAAATCGTCATAATGTTAATCAAATTTTGCCACGGTTTACGATAAACCGTCGCAATGTTGAACAATTTTGCGACAGTTTTGAAAAACTGTGGTATGAAGGGTCGCAATATCAAAGCGAAGACGGTTTCTAGATAACCGTCGCAATTTGTCCGTCGCAAGTTATCATTTTCCTTGTAGTGAATAGAGTAAGCAAATGAAAGACATTTTGAAAATGAAAGTAAGCTTTACTAATGATACACTAAAAAAAACAAAAATGTTAAGAGATGAGATGGAGATATGAAGAAGAATGTAGAGTTGGGATACAGATATGAAGATTGAAGACCTCAGACGCATATAAATAATGAATGGTGCTATGCAATGGGAGTTCACAGGAGCCATTGAGACATGACTAAACATTTACGGGACTACAACCTGAGCATCATGGGACTGAGGAGCTACATGGGACTGCACTTGATGGGACTCAAGCTTCATGGGCAAAGATGCTTGCAAAATGTCAGCTAGGGTGACGTTACCACATGCAAAACGTCAACCCTGGTGGTGCATGGTTTTAAGTTGATTGGCTCCATGAAGAAGACGTCACTTATAATGCCGGTTTTAGTCTAATTTTTTTGCATGCAATTCACGTTCTTAAACCCATGCACAAAACGTCATATAGGGTGACGTTTTTACTTTCGTAAACCCATGCAGAAAACATCAAATAGGATGGCATTTTTAGGTTCGTAAAACCATGCAAAAAACGTCAAATGGGATGGCATTTTTAGGTTTCCCTCTCTCCATGTACAAAACTTCATATAGGGTGATGGTTTCTTCATTTCTGCAATTCTACGTGATCAAAATAATTTATTTTGGTAAATTATTTTTTAATTAATTTATCAATAATTTTTTATTTATTATGGCCAAAAGTCCCAATGAAGTAGTAATCGTAATAGATATAAGAGGGCAAACAAAGTAAAGAATAAACCCATGGATTTATATTGGTTTGTCTCAACCTTTGAGACTACATCTAGTTCTTAATCCAATCAGATCAAGTTTCACTATATTAATTAGTAACATACAAGTATTCTTTAACAAACCACTTGTGGCTCAATCCTAAGTATTATTTTAATTATCTCTTCAAGAAATCTATCCAAGTATTATTTTTTACTTAAAGCCTCTTCAAGCTTTAACATTGAGTATTATTTTATGGTCAAGTCTCTTTAGGCTCAAATAATAAGTATTCTTTGACAGACAAGTCCCTTCAAACTTAAACCCAATAACTTAAAGTTACAAAGGTTTAAAAGATTATTTCGTCTTCCTATTAATACATGTGATACAACAAGTTATGTACAAAGACATTTTATAGAAAGAAAGAATGTAATTTTTAAAATGATCAATCTCTACTATTGTCACTTGATTATCATCACTTTCTTTCTTAGCTTCAAGCTTCCTTTTATAAAGCTTCAATGAATATGACCTTTACAAATCCTCAAGCTTCTTTCTCATGGATTTCTTCGTATGTCCTCACAATTTTCTTCTTAAGGAGAAAATGTATGTTGGTGTAATAAGTAGTTACATTAAATTAATATTTTCATCAAATCATCACTTCTTATCTGATTAAAGAAGTTACTTATCACCTTTTAGCACCAAATAGGTAGAACCATGTGTGCGTCAGGATGCTGTAGTGATGAAACAACTTTTGACTAGAGCTTCCTTTTAGAAATTTCCTTGTCCTTTTCTAACTCAAAGCATGTCTTTCTTTCCTTTTTGTAGAATATTGGTATCGATGAAGTATTTTTAAATTCAATTTGTTAAAGAACACATTTAGACGTAGTTAATTTCTAGTTTAGAGATCGTAAACAATGAAGATTTAATGCATCTCCTTTTATGACTAAAGGTTCATCTTATTTATTAACATAATTGTCTTAATGTATCTATCGTCTTGTATCATGATTCGTCTTATTAATGAATTGTATCTTGGTGAAAGATTTGTCTTAGTCGATCATTTCTAAAACTTCATACTATTGATAAAAAAAAACCTTTTATGTTTGTTAATAGCAAAACTTAAGATCAAGGGGATTTAAAATTATCTTTTGACCTAACAGGGACTAAAATTAAATTTATATTAAATTTGAGAAATTAACAATATATTTAAGCTTTTATACTATTATCTAATTACAAAATAATAAGTTTAGTGTGTTTTATAGTTACTATAAAAATTGTATCTATCATAATTTTTATATTTATTATTATTATTAATAAGGAAAACATTAAAAGCCAATAAAAATTAATTTTCATTTATTTTTATGCAAAATAAAATATAAAACTCATTGTAGGATACATAGTTTTCCACTAGACATTTAGATTTATATCATAGCAAAAAATTATATCTTGTTAGTGTAAAACAATTTTCCAAACTATAACCTAATCACAAATTATTATGTATAGTTAATTCTTTATTTTTATCATAATTAATTTAAAAGTCATGTCAACAGTAATTTTTAATTAGTTGACTACATAAAACTTTTACAGCGACATTACATGACTACTGAATCCTTTATATTTCTCTTTTTCTTTCTCTCCCTCCCCTCTTTCTCTCTCTATATATATTCTTGCAATTAGAGACAAACAGTAAACGGACATTGATTTACAAAAATGGGAAATTCTTGGCTTACAAACAAGGGAAAAAATGGCACTTATTTAGTAACATACACATGTCAATAAGTATCAAAGAAGCTGCTCATCTAGATCAATTATAGATTGTTAGGATGGAGTACGTTTGGGAAGATGTACCGTTAATTATCAAATTCTTCAAAACATGTCTTATTTGGAATATCAAGAATAGCTAGCTACCATGCTTAGTATATATATATATATATATATATATGTATATATATAT